CAACCCTAACTGAACCGTTCCTTTCCTGAGGCTGTCTTTGAGAAGTCCTGGGTGGCTGGTTGTTTTTTGCACTTTTTTTCATTTCCAAGTAGAGATTCTAACCCCCTTTGTTCCCTTCGCAGGTTTGGGTCTAGTGCAAAGGTCGTCCACTTTCTGGGGGCCACCAAACCTTGGAACTACAAGTATAATCCACAGACCGGCTCGGTTCTGGAGCAGGGCTCAGCATCAGGCAGCCTGCACCAGGCTTCTTTCCTGAATCTCTGGTGGACGATCTATCAGGACAGAGTTCTGCCTCTTTACGAGGGTATAAAAGTCGCAGAAACTCACTTGTCTCCGGGACACACGGTAAGTGGGTGATTCTTCTTAAAACCCACAGCTAAGGCTCGGTGCCCCTAGCACAGTGATTACGGCGTCAGCCACATGCACTGGCTGGTGGGTTCGAGCCCCACCTGGGCTTGCTAAACAACAGTGACAATTGCAACAACAAAAAAATGTAGCTGGGTATTGTGGCGGGTGCCTGTCGTCCCAGCTACTTGGAAGGCTGAGGCAAAAGAGTCGCTTCAGCCCAAGAGTTTGAGGTTGCTGTGAGCTGTGATGCCACAGTACTCTAACTAGGGCGACATAGTGAGACTCTGTCTCAACAAGAAACAAACAAACAAAAAGAAAACAGCCCTCTGGTTGAAGATGAGGATAACCTTCCCTGTTACACAACACCTGCTGTGTTTCATTTCTTTGTGCCTTCAAGTTCATCAGAATAAATTTCATGCAGAAGGATGATAAAGAAGAAAGCAACTTTATTTTTTACTTTCATTTTTTGGCTCGAGTAGAGTGTTTAGTGAGCAGAGATGGGGATTTATAGCCGTGTACCAACGGTTTATTTAAATCAGCCTCATCAGAAGAGGAGCCACTTGGAAGATAAGTGGGTAATGATGACTGATTATAACGTCTCATTTTACTTGAAACTGTCGTTCATTTGAAAGAGCGATCAGAGAATGAGTTAGAAGAGGGTCTTAAAATTCTTTTTTTGAGGCCAATTTGATTTGTGAAAAACGTAAGGATAGCCCCTCAGCGTGCTAAGTGCGAGATTGATGTGGAGCACGTCTGCCTTGCCAAAGACATTTGTAATTAGATCCCAGGAAATGTTGTAATCTTAACCATTTTTTTTTTTTTTTTTTTGGACTAGAGGATTCACTAGCATGATGGAATTAGGTCTCAGCAAATAGATTGCTTGGTTAATTGAAAAAAACTGGAAAAAAATACATATTTTTTGCAATTTGGGGGCAGGATAGATATAGGTGCTACTTTTCATGATGACAGTGTCTCTCATGCACAGGGGTTTATTGGTATCAAGCTTATGGATGGTGAGGGGCAGTTCATTACGGAGGAACTTTGAAAAGTTGTTCTAAGAAAAAGAAAATTAAGAACAGGCATTTCATGGGTACAGAGCATAGGGGTGGGATCCGCCATCTACAAAGAGGTAAAGATTGGTTAGAGGTCCCTGAGAGTAGCAGGTGAGCTGAGCACATGTACAGGAGGTTGTTTTCATCCTGTTTATTTTTGGGAGCAGGTTTGCCAAAGTGGTGTTGGAGTGCAGTGTGCAAATTCACCACCCAGTGCTGGAGGGCCGTGTGCAAATTCACCAGCCAATACTGAGGGGCCGTGTGCAAATACAGTGCCAGGGTCTGACCAGCAATGCCCTGCTCAGGGCTCTCTGGAGTTGACCTCCAATGTGGATGAGAACCAGCCCTTTCCTGAAGGATGCCAATTGGAGGATGTAAGTACCTGTGTTCTACACAGGTGTGCTGGAGATCCAGACGCCTGGTCCCCAGGGACAGAGGGGGCAGTGCCAGCTTCCTGGGCTCCCTGGGGGAGGGAAGCATCATCGTGTTCAGTTTCCTCTGGCCATGGGGGCACCTGCATACCAAATAAAGCTCCCCCACAAAAGGTGGGTATGTCCTCATCCCCGGGAACCTGTGAGAGTTCCGTTTCATCACAGACGTTTTTGTAGAACTGACTAAGTTCCATATAGGTCTTAAGATGGGGACATGATCTCAGATGACCTCCGTGGGTCTTAAGTCACCACGAGGGTTTTTAATCAGAAGGATACAGGAGGGTGAGAATCGTGGGACAGGGGAGGCTGAAAACAGAGGTCAGGCAGAGGGATGATTGGAAGGTGGGTGCTTGCTGCCTGCCGGCTCTGAAGATGAGAGAAAGATTGTGAACAGAGGCAGGAAACGTCTGGAAAAGCAAGGAGATGGATTTCCTCCAAAAGCACCCAGTAGGGAGCCAGCCGTGACAACTTAATTCCACCAGACTGAGCCTTCGTCAGACTGTGAATCTTGAGCTACTTCAGCTGAGCCCGATTGGAGCAGGGGAATGTTGACACACACAGCCATGTCCTTTGAGGCTGAATCTGCAGAAATTTGTCCTCGGAGAAGGAAAAAAAAAAAAA